GTACTTTAAAAGCTATCATGAAATTTTATCTGTTTTGGTAGTAACATGTTTAAAGTTAAAACTTTTGGTCCAACACAAAAATTCTCTCACGTAGAGCTTTCGACCAGTCACTCTGGTCTTCCTCCATAGACTGACCCAGTGAGGCTTGTCACAGTGTTGATGTCACACTTCAAAGAAGCCACGTGACAAGTCTCACTGGGTCAGTCTATGGAGGAAGACCAGAGTGACTGGTCGAAAGCTTTAGGTGAAAGAATTTTTGTGTTGGACCTAAAGTTTTAACTTTAAACAGGAACTTTAAAAGCGTGTACAGCACAAAAACTTTGCAGGAAGTAAGGAGACACCTATTTGTACTTGTATGTGGTGGTCAGGATTTTTAACCAAGTTGTGCAAGGGCCAATATTTTGCAGGGCGTTAAGTGGTCATTTGCTTAAAAGACGAAAGTAAAACTGTCAACTTAGATTTATAAAACTTCGGAGTAATAAAAGGGAGCACAATCTGGACATGACGAAAGCAAAAAATTCAGATTCGTGCAACAAGAACAGCCCCAGAATGGTCATTTGTGCTCATTCACTAAAAAGACACACCTCTTTTAACTTAGAAAGTCAATTGAGAGCATATGATCCTTGTGGTAATATTTATGTTTTGCAGAGACCATTGGGACCTTGAAAGAAATCCTGCCCCATTGTCAAGGACATACCTGCTGGACACTGGACTTTTATCAACCTCTAACTGTAACTCTATCTACAGTTTAGTTATACCAAAATTGATTTTTGAGGCCACACCAATTTAATTTGTTGGTTCTCGGATTTTTTCAGAAAAAATACCGTTTTTCTTGTGCATCCTCTAAAGTAACGGATAGCTTGTTACTAAGAAAAATTGTGATAGCCGAATTAGATTGGGTGTCAGAAAGTAACAATGTGTTAAAGTTTAATTCTGTAGTTGTGAGAGGCCAGTGACAAAGCTAGATGTTGTAGCTGATCAAACACAAATGCGAATCTACACTTCAATCTCATAGTTATGGAGGTAAATCAAGAGTCAAGATGTTAACCACTAGCACTATCCTTGGTGCTGAAAGTTGTTCTACAACTTCTCAGTCTACTGTAATTCCTGATTTTTTCACAGCACTTTAATAATGTTTGCAATTTTGGCTGTCTTTCTGCACCACAAACGTATCATAAGGCCACACCAATTTGATTTGCTGGTTCTCGGATTTTCTCATAAAAAATTTGATGTGACAGGGCGAAAAAAAATAAAAACAGGTCTAGGCATCCTATTATAGCCCCAAACGCTACAATAGGAGCCATGGAGTCAACACCAAAGTCTGAGTTGTATTTAAAGAATGAATTTTAAACTTTAAATCAAACCACTGCATCGATAGATGGAAAAACTATAACAACTAAGAAGAAAAGGACTTTTCTCAACTGTTTGGGACAAATTATGAGCATATTTGAGTTGATTCAGAACCAGAATCTTTTTTTCTTTGCAAATCAGAAAAAAATGAAGAGGCGAATCCGACAACCAATTGGTGTGGCCCAACCTCCTTCTTATTTCTACCTACACTATCTACACTAACTTGACTGCATTAGAAGTAGAAAACAACTTCAGAGTAATTATATAATCCTTGTGAAAGACATTTTTGTTTTGCTGATTCCTCCCTTTCAAACATCACACACAGTTTACCTGTGGTACATTTCACTCTACAGAAAGAAAGCACAACATTGCCTTTTCCATTTTCTTTTAAAAAAAATAGGACATATTCCTAACAATCATTATGTGACCAAAGTACTTTCCTAGAAATCCAGTCATCATTAAAATATTATCATTATTTAAAAAGAAAGTTTGTGAAATGCCTATAATGTGTTTTAAGATATTTTGTTAACATGAATAATCCTGCTTGTTATTTTTGTTACTTGACAACCAGAGACAAACGTGTGGAATTTTAGGTAAATCAGAGTCTAGATTTGTATGCCTTTTGTTTGCTTTTCGCAAATTCGTAATTGCAAGCACGTTACAGTAAAAAAACATAGCAATTAGTATGTAAAGTCACAATGTTTATAATATATTTCAGAGATTTAGAGCACTCCAGGTTAGAGATGGATAGTCATTTTTTAAGGGTCTGCATAGGACATCCCAATCATGCTTGGTGTGCTAAATTCTGTAAGGCAGCACCCGCGATTTACATTTGTTCAGCTTGGTTTCACATAGATTACATTTGGTATCAAATCGTTGTTGGACTTCAAATTATGAAAAATTGAAATGGCAAGGTGCAGAATGCTACAATTAAGGGTTTTGAATGAATGAATGAATGAATGACTTTATTTCAGGAAAAACCCCATAGTACAGACAAGGACCACATAGACACAAAACACACAACAATCTATTACATTTTTAAAGCAACGTTTTAAGCAACGACCACGTATTATGGTTCACTTGTACTGGCTGGACGTTTTATCACATAGATGAGAGTTTAATGGTGACTAGATTGACCTGACCATTATGCAAACCTAAAATGGCTGGTTACGCATTGCAGCACGCAGACCCCATTTTTTAAATAAAGTTAGAATAGAGTTTATAAATAAAAGCCAACTCACAGTCAAGTCCGATGTTCTCTTCTCTTGTAGATAGGTAACAGGTCCTTCAGAAACAGGTAGATCCTCCTGGAATAATTATGGTCCTAGAGTGTGGACAGGTACACAGGATTAGCTGACAGGTCCAACAGCACACACAGGAGACAGATCCCACAATGTCAGCTATACATTAGCAGCATCTCAAGCCTAGGTTGTAAAAGAAATACACATTCAGAAAGGTCACAGGCCAAATACTACCGTTACCGTAATACAATATGGTAGTAAAGTAACAATTACTCTCACAGAGCATCATACATTGTAATATTCACATTATTTTGTTCGAGTTCTAAAACCTGCTTTGGTTCGGGGGCAAGAGCAAATTCTGAGTGGGGAAAGAGCAGAGCAAAATTGCAGTCAAATATTCAATCAAAAGTCAACATATTATTAGGAAAACATATAATATCATGACCATGGAAAAATCAAAGTACATCTCACATGAAATACCTCAGAACAGTCACCAACAACACACAGAATGCTATTCAAACATGCATAAGTTCAACAGCATTCAAGCACATCTTATATTGACAAAACATTACGTATGGGAGAAGATGGGTTGGTGGAAAAACGAGTCCAGTCCGATCGGCGGAAAAAGCAGTCCAGTCCAATTTGGGGGTGGAAAAAGCAGTCCGGTAGTTTCTGTGTATAGCAGCGCCCCCTTGCGAAATACGTGAGTTAAGTTAGTTAAGTGAGTATCGCTCACACTCACGATCTGCGCCAAACGAAAACCCCACCACACACCCTCAATTAGATGCCGCTCCGCCTTTTATTATTTACGTACTAGTAAGTATCGCAGGCAGTTTTCGCCATTTGCATAGCGCTAGCTGTGTCCAATGAGTGCGCTTCACACAGTGACATCCGGTAACACACCAGACTGTTTGAACTTTTATCGTATTTCGCAAGGGGGCGCTGCTACACACAAACTACCGGACTGCTTTTTCTACCAACCCGGAAAAGATGGCTTACATAATGCATATAAATCAGTAAAAAATTCAGAAAACAGACGAAGAAACTAGCGTATCTAATGTAGTCATGTTAGTTCAAAACGGACATGAAAATATCATCCCCGAACGGCGGCTTTTACTAAGTGCCACACTGGTTTAAACACAAGGAATCGTTTAACACCAGAGCAAATATTTTACGCCATTCTGCGTTTTAGCTTCATTCTTAATCTATCTCTTCTTTTTTTTTTCTCCTTTGAGACAGCCACCTAACTGAAGATACTGCTGCCTTTTTTGTGGCTAATACGAGATGGGGTTCGCGAAGGCCTCCATCCATGAAAGGCGTGTAAAGTGCCTTTCCCAAGGGCACAAGATCGGCGACATGGCAGGGTTCGAACCCGGGACCTCTTGGTTCTGAGCCAAACGCTCTGTCGTTGCGGCGCCACACGACCCCAACGAATTGCAACTAGTTCGGCCCAAATACGAGAACATAGAGGACAATGTTAAATGCGACTCACCTCCTTAAACGGACGTACCTCGTCTTAAAAGACGACTTTTAACCGCCGAGTTCTTCCCTGTCCAAGCACCATGACTTCCATCTTGCTCTGAGCAGCAGCGTGGTCTTACCACCTGATACGGCATCACCATGATTTGCATATTCTCAATTCAATAATTAAGTTAGGCCATGTTGATTTGATTATATGGATGACATCCACTGGGAACCCCAAAACTGATGCGAGCGTGCGAATAAAAAAAGTTGCCTTCATTCTGAAATCTAGGTGGTCATGAAGGTTGAACAAATGACTAAACACACAAAGTTTATTGGCACGGTGAATAATAGACTCTCCATTTTCATTCCTTCACATTTTGTTCTCTTCCTCTGGAATGGATTTTGGCATTCTGTGACATAAGTATCGTTTTCCTTTTTTTTCAGTTTGCGGCATATATTTGCTAATTTTGCAGCTGCTTTGTACGATTTACAGTATGGCCGAAAACTTTTTTTTGGAAACGGACGAAAATTCATGCGCGTGCGGATGTCATCCATATAATCAAATCTACATGGGCTAAAGCGGTATTCGCGGGTACATCCGTTTACAATGTTATGAAACAGTAATAGGCGATGAATGTGTCGCCTTAGCTTTCGGACAAAGTCTCCCAGCCGAGCTCTTGACAAATTAAAGAATATAAAGAACATGTTACGGCACCGGGCACTACTAGGGAGCCAGTCCGATTGTGACGGTGGGAGATGGAGACCAGTAACTGCTCTGTACCGTTTACTGTTCTGTTCTGGACAGGCTTACAGACTTAAATAGAGAGGATATGTTTCGTTTCTAGATTAAACCGTACCTTCAGTAGTTACGGCACACCTGTGGTATTGTTTCACACAAAACTTGTTTCACAAAGCGGCAAGGTGAAATTTATGACGTCACAAGTTCCGATGTCCATGACGCAGGCGAACAACGTTCCTTGGAACTGTTTTGTTCTTTCCGTCAACCGCTGAACAGCAACACCTGAAATACCCCTGTAAAAGTCCGGACAGAACATTTTGCGAGAGCCAGCCGGTGCCACTTTGATACAGACAGAAATAAATCATATCTTACTATGGCTTCTTGCCCCCCTCCCAAACCCAGCCCCTGCCGACGCTGCTACAGGGTGAAAGTAAGCTCTTCGCCCCTGAGCGCTCAACAGTTTTTAAAGAGAGGAGACTCCTCGCGTAAAAGAAAGTCGCCTGTTGAGTGGACGCCGTCCAAGAGAGCGCGTTGGAATAATCTGCCTGACACCATCCTTGTCGAAGTCCTCAAATGGATACCACAGGTATACGGTACATTCTCGTTGCTGATTTTCTCCCGTAACGTTATATAACTTAGCGCGATCTAAGTTGTATTTTCACCATGAATACTGTCAACGTCTTTCCTACTGTGCCATTAATGATAAATGAGTGTTTGATAGTAAACAATGATGATCAGCATACTTTTACCCTAGTACGACTTTACTTTTCGATTGATAGTAAACAATGATCAGCATACTTTTACAATAGTACGACTTTACTTTTCGATGTTTTTAAGGTATATGGGGAATGATATAATGTTCTTCTTAATTTCAGAACGAACTTGGTGTGTGTGCCCAGATCTCCCGACAGTGGTACAGAGTTGTGTACTCCACGGGTGTGTGGGAGGACAGGGAGATTCTGTTCGACTTCTCCGCCTTCTGCTCCATCGAGTACAACGGGAAGTGCGAGCAGTACGAGTGGTTTGTGGAGAAGATGGGGCGGTACGTCAGGAACGCCAAGCTGGTGCTGAACCTGGTGTGTTCCCGCCTGCGCGACCCGAGGTTCCGCGGCGCGGCCTGCAGGCGGCAGCAGTACGAGGTTATGGAACGCCTGTTTGAGGGAGGCCGCCTGAGAAGTCTGCAGATCGACTTCGTCCCGCAGTTCAACCCGCCACACGTGTACATGGGATACTGCGCCCACCAAGACTGCACGGACCCTGTACAAAATTTCCTGAAGAAGATTTCCTCAGACTTACCAGGCCTCCGTCGGCTGTCTGTTCAGTGTTTGCCCGACTGGCACTGGGAGCTCCTGCTCCGGACCATCCCCAAAATGACCAACCTGGAGAAACTAGAGATGAACCACAAGAAGCACCAGCCCTTCCGTATCGTCCTGTACATGGGAGATGTTCATGGCATGATTCCAGCCGCACTCAGCAACATGAGCACGCTCCGGGTCCTGAAGCTCGCTAACGTCGACGTACAGGACACTCTGTGGCACGCCCTCGCAAACCACTCCGGAATACCGCTGCAGCAGCTTACCATGGTGGCCTACACAGACTTCAACCCTTTCAGTCTCCCGACGTGGGAGAGGGTCGCGCAGAAGTTCCCCAGTCTGTCTGTGGAGCTGTTCTTCCGGCACGGTCAACAGAGACTCGTGCTGAGAAAGTCCGAGTTCGAGTCTTTCCTTCGAGACGACGTTCGGCTGAAGACGCTCTGCGTCAGTCAAGCGAAGCTGTGCAGGGAGATAGCCATGATCGACGTCCTCCAGATCGTCGCAGAAAAGTACACGGATAGTTTAGAAACGTTCCTTTTCTTCCAGTCCCGGGGGCAACCTATGGTCGCGTCCAAAGAAGTCGAGCTCATACGAAGGTTTCCGAAACTTGCCGAGGTTGCCATAGCTCCAGTCATCACCGACAAACGTCTGAAACAGCTCGCCAAGGGGTGTAGAGGACAACTTCGGGAACTTTTGGTAGGTGTACGAAGGCCTGCTTTCAGGTAAATGTATATGTAACGCGTAACGACCCTAACGTGAATGAATGGGTGCCAACTTCGAAAAGTTAAGCAGGTGCGCTTGCAGATGCTTGTTTCCAACTCAATGTCCAATTGCTAATACATTGCTGAAATGTACAAATGAGGAAAGTTTCCATCGCGAAAATGTTTTTCGTAAAATTGTTAGCGGATAAGATGGTTATGACTGACAACCCAGAAAAAGTCTCCTTATAATCTACAGATAGCTCACAAGCAGGATTGCCATGAATGCCTTGCAGCGTTGTCCTTGTTTCTAGGTGCGATCAGTGCTGAAATACATGCCGGACGCCAACAAACTGGTGAAAATGGAAGCCAAAGAAGTGTCTAACCTGGAGACGGTGGTGACCAGGCTGCTGGGCTATCCCTGGGAGATGTCGGCGCCGTCCTGGGCGGAGCGGGAGTTAAACGCAGAGAGTGACATCGAGTTTGCGGAAGCGTGTATGGAACAGTACATGTGAGAAATACCACCTGTTAATGCACGTGTCTCATGTCACTGCAGAAAACCGACAAACAAATGAAATAAAAACGTTATGAAAAACACCACCCTTGTCTGTTTTCCGTGAATAGCTACAGACCATGGTGATCTCAGTAGAAATTCAAATTTGAGTCTTTACGGAAAAATGATTATAATGTCATAATGCCCTTGAAAATTGCCATTTATATTTTCTTCTCCAAAATTCACCATTCAAAACAGCAATAAGTTACTGTGAAAACTTGTACCTGCTTTGGGCCGCTAATGTAGGCTATCATGGAATAAAGAGAGGACAATTTTATGTTCAAAATTATTTATTATTGCACATTATTGCTTTCCTCGTGAAAACTCATCACATGCCTTTATCTCCCTGGGTCAACCAGTACTAACAAGTGCACTTGACTACTAATTTAAACCTCTATTGCAATGAATGTCCCACATCAGCTTAAATCAATGGCATGTGAATATTGGTTGTATTCTACTGCATACATGTACCATTGTTGCATCTACATCATACCATTTCATTCGGGAGTAATATATTTTTATGATAGTGTCAAGAAAAAAATAATCACAATCAAAATGGTATCCAAACGTATCACATTTGTTATCACATGGTGTTTGATTTGCCATGATTCAGCAAATCCAGACATGAGGAAATGGCAAGAAGGACACATAGCTGATATGGCCATGGCTAAATCTGGGATGTTTTTACTAAATCTGGGATCCATGGAAATTCTTTTACCAAGGAAAAGTCACCAGCATTTAACTTTTCTTGTATTATAGCCCAGGTATCTTACAGTATATCCTGATTTGGCTTTTTAAGCTCCCCCGGGAAATTTAAAAAATGAACGTTCTGAAATGGAATTTCCTGCATTTTTTTAGAGGATTTCAGAGATAACTTTTTTCAATAACAAAGTGAGCAGTTTTCCTTGCTGGTGACATGAATCAGTCCGTCTTTTAAAGAAAAATCTTGGACCTTTAGATAAAAAGTGGACCAAAAAGTGGACATTTGAGCCTTGTGGGGGGGTTCGTCCAAACCCTGGCTACGGGCATGTGAAATCGTGACGTTTTATGTCAAATCTGTTTGTAATCCTGCCATGTCACCCTTGTGGAACCCTCATGTACATCAGGAATGGAGGAGCAGGCAGAGGAACCTGCATAGAGCCCATCCCGTACACAGGGCACTGCTTAAAGCTACAGGGGGTCTCCCTCCAGGCATAGCGGATTGCCGTGACTATCTTGTGACAGTTGGTGGTGGACACCGTGACGCTGTCAGTGGCGTTCGGACGGATGGCATGGACCATCGGAGCATCCACCCACATGGCCGTGTCTTTATTGCAGTTGTTCTTCACAGACGAGCAGCACACCTGGAACAACAGGCAGGTGGTACAGACATGATGATGCTTGTAAGGCAACACCGTCTTGATTTTATGGATGACATCTGCTCACACATTGATTTTCGCCTATTATAAAAAAAAAGGTTACATCCTCCGAGGCTCTGGCCTGGCTTTAGGACTGGGTTGCCCATGGTAGTTAGCGACAATACAAAGCCAGGCAGCCAGGCTACCAAAGCTAGCTCCATGACTCAAGAACTCAGTACATACCTACAGTGCTGATTCATGAATTCCCTAAAAAGCCAGCATGTACCGGCTGGTTGTGTACGTCGCTATGTACTGCCGCAAATTCACAATGGTTTAGTAGCATTTGTATTTTTGGCCAGAATTTCTTTTTCATTCCCCCGCATGCACTAGTTTGGGTGTCTTCAGAGGATGTCATCCATAAAATTAAGTCGGTGTGGCCTAAATGGAAGTAGACTGACCGTCGAGCAGTGGTAGAACAAATTTCAGCACCAAGGACAGGGCTAGTGGTTAACATCTTGACTCTTGATTTACCTCCTTAACTATGAGACTAAAGGGTAGATTCCCATTTGTGTTTGACCAGCTACAACATCTAGCTTTGTTACTGGCCTCTCACAACTACAGAATTAAACTTTAACCCATTGTTACTTTCTGACACCCAATCTGAGATGACTATCACAACTTTTCTTAGTAACAAGCTATCCGTTAATTTTAAAGGATCCACAACAAGAATGGTTTGTACATTATAAAAAGAAAGGCCAAGAAAGTGTTACATTCTCATTTCTAATGGATATTTAGTCCATGTCGATTTGATTATATGGATGACATCCTCTGGAGTACCCCAAAACTGACACGAGCGTGCAAATAAAAAAAAAGGCTGGCAAAAAAAAAGTTTCCTTCAATATGAAATCTACATGGTTATAAAAGTTGAACAAATGACTAAACACACAGAGTATGGTATGGCAAATAATTATAGACTCTTAATTCTTCTTTTCTTCCTGAAGTGATTTCTGCATTCTATGACATTAGTATCATTTTCCGATAATTTTTTTGGCAACATATGACATACATTTGCTCATTTTGTACAATTTACAGAATGGTTGAAAACTTATTTTTTTGGAAACGAATGAAAATTCACGCGCGCGCAGATGTCATCCATATAATCAAATCAACATGGCCTTATCTACATTCACTACATTTCATCTTAACTCATCTTAACTCATAGTTTACCCATCCAAACCAAGGTTGTTGAAGAAGAAGACGTCCATAATTTTACTGACCTCAAACCCACCAGTGCTCCTGACCTCTATATGCCCTGCCTCTGGGCCATACTGGACAACAATGGTGTCGTTTCCCATCTGCAGACTGGAGGGGAAAGGTCCCTGGAACTTGATGTTCTTGTCTCCGTACGCCACGGCCCTGGCTGCCAGCGACAGTCTGGTACCCATGTCCTGTTTATCCTGGGGATGGACACTGTGGGTAACAACGGCAGAGGAGAGTGAGAAGATACGCCAAAAAGCAGTTACTCAAGCAACTGGAAATGATTTTGGCACAAGCAGTGGTAGAACAACTTTCAGCACCAAGGACAGTGCTAGTGGTTAACATCTTGACTCTTGATTTACCTCCATAACTATGAGATTGAAGTGTCGATTCGCATTTGTGGTTGGTCAGCTACAACATCTAGCTTTTGCTTGAGTAACTGCTTTTTGCAGTTGCTTGAGTAACTGCTTTTTGGCGTATCCTATTACCTGGATGTCTAACCTTCATCGATGAAAGTGAGAAGATTCAAGTGGATGTGAAGGGATAGGTGGAACGTGCAAAGGCACTGATTCAAACTTTCTGGACATGAAGAAAATTAGTAAATATGTTACACCTATACCTATAAACAAGAATAAATGACTACAGTGCAGTTTATTTGCATGTACATGTAACTTGTTCTGTGAAGTCACACTACATGAACCCAGCCATTTCTATTTACCTTTGAATTTGAAAAGTCACTGTGTGCTTCAAAGTGTTGACTTTTGACAGTCTTCTTCCTCTCTGCAGATTGACATGTGCAACTCTTTGCTCAGAATATCAAAATCTTATTGCACACTCTATGTACCTGGCAGCATAGGTGGAGAAAGACCTTGTTGAAGTGTGTCAAGAAGGACATTAGAGAGTGCAGCCTTGCCAGTGTTAACCCACTGGACAGGGCTGCCTGGAGGTGCAGTGTGAGGTCTATCCAACTGCTGCCTACCCGTGTGTCAGGGACCCCCGCAGCATTATAATGGACCTATACCATTATTATGTCACAGTTTGTTTACCTGTTCGAAAGAACATTCTAGAACGGTCAGTTAAAGAATAAAGATCATTTCAAAGTTTTCAAAGAAAGGTATGTCACTCTGATTTTTGCTGCGTCTAGCTGTGTTGACACAGCATTACATGCCGCATGAGTGATTTAGTTGTGACATTAGATGAAAGTAGTACAGTGTATTAAAAGCCTTATATTAGGCTAACGCTACACAAACACACACCGCGCTACGCACCCCTGTACAATATAAACGTCGATTGACCGGCATTCATTGCGGTAAACAAACTGTGACGTAATAATGGTATAGGTCTATTGAAGCCTGGATAGTGAGTGTGTACATTGTATGTAGACCATGTGCCAGAAGAACACTGCACAGCAGACTGAACCATACAATTATACTCTGCGTAACTGACAGAACTCACGTCAGCCATGGGGAGTCAGGTCTCCACAGGTCCATAGCCACTGCCATGAAGACTTTCTCCATCTTCGGGTTGGGAACATAACCAAAGTCTGCCGTCTGGTGCCAGCGGATCTCTGGGTAACCCAGGTCTGTGGAACCTGGCACATTTCCTGAGATCTGAAGTCAAATACCAAATGAATGAGTGAATAGATAAATGAATGGATGAATGAATGAATCAAGAACATTTTGTCTTGATGAAAGCCACCAATAAAATTATATATAGTACATAAACCCCTAAGGTTTTCAGAGCCCAGTGACTCAAAAGTCTAATGTCTTCTTTGGCAGTTCAGCCTAATGTAATCTCTTGCTTTATAGGGTTATCCAAGCATCAAATACACGTATATGGGTATTGGAATAATATTAAAGTTGTTGTAGAGAAGATAAAATATGTATGGCTTAGAATTGCAATCTCAGGTCCTGAAGACAGCTTTAGAACACTGATCAATCAGAAAATTATAAGCCCTTTCAGAGCTACAATTTCTTGTAATAAGAACATTTTGTCCTTTCATTGAGATTAACAAATCTTATGAGGTGAAACCAAGTGGCATGAGACACCCTGACCTGCATGAAGCCGAAGGGGAAGGTGAGGTCTGTCTGCCCCCCTGTTCCCTGGTACCAGCTGCTTCTCCAGCTGTCAATCATCGCGGGGAACAGGCACAGGTAGGAGTCAGGGTGGTCCGCATTGGACTCACCTGCAGGGGGAAAGTCGAGGCAGCAGAGAAATTAAAATTTGGACCAATTCTGTGGTGCACTACAATTGTACTTGTGATCATCAAGACCCCCATCAGCAATGAATGGTGAGGGGACAAGACACAACTAACATAACTAATAGTACAACAAATGAATATGTAAATGAGTGAAGGAATGAGTTTTTCTTACCTTGATACCAGATGGCTCCTTTGATGGTCATGTTGAGTAAGGGGTGAATCATGGCGTTCCACAGAACAGAGTTCTGGTTGTCACCAGGAACTATAGGGGTGCGCTTAGGGGCATGCTTTCGAAGATCCAGAGACTGATCTCTAAAGCAGGAGGAAAAATGTCTTTAGACTTCAATCTCCAATATAAGACATTGGAAAACATTTTCCTGCCTTTTAAAAGTCCAATTCAAAGATAACCTTATTAGCAGAAATAAAGCAACAATGAAAGGAAGCATAGATAACTAGACTTATTAGAATTCATAAGATGAGACAAAGTAAGAAATCCACACCAATCTACCTTTTAGGCAGAGTATTGTCAACATCACACTTCTGCAGGACCTCTGGTGAGGACCAGTACTCTATGGGGGTTCCTTCGTAACTGGAGGCCACCAGACCGATGGGGTACTGGAGAGTATCGTACAGGTCACGTCCGTAGAACCAGCACAGCGCAGAGAAGTAGTTCCACATCCCCCCACCTACACTGGCTGTGGCAGCAATGACATCAAAGCAGTTATGAACATCAACAGTACAGGCTAGGTGTAACAAGTGGTTAGGTGTAACAAGTGGTCAGGTGTAACAAGTGGTCAGGTGTAACAAGTGGTTAGGTGTAACAAGTGGTTAGGTGTAACAAGTGGTAGGTGTAACAAGTGGTTAGGTGTAACAAGTGGTTAGGTGTAACAAGTGGTTAGGTGTAACAAGTGGTTAGGTGTAACAAGTGGTTGGGTGTAACAAGTGGTTCGGTGTAACAAGTGGTTGGGTGTAACAAGTGGTTAGGTGTAACAAGTGGTTGGGTGTAACAAGGGGTTAGGTGTGACAAGTGGTTGGGTGTAACAAGTGGTTAGGTGTAACAAAGTGGTTAGGTGTAACAAGTGGTTAGGTGTAACAAGTGGTTAGGTGTAACAAGTGGTTAGGTATAACAAGTGGATAGGTGTAACAAGTAGATAGGTGTAATATAGCCAGCTGCTGCCATGCCATGTGCCTGCGAAGCTGGTTGTGTTACGCCGAAGGGCAGTTACATGTATACTGACTATACAGAGACAGATACATACAGTAACAGTGTCATTGAACAGTGTCTTACACATTAATGGGTTGATTTCCATGATTCATGAAACTTAAGGTTGAAATGTACATTGCTCAGCACTAGTGTGTTTCTATGAAGCCATGCCCAGTACCTGCACTTGCCACAGACCAGGGTTGTTCCACCCTGTCCAGGTTACTGAGGGGTGTGTCAGAGCCCACCAGCCCTGCTGTGAACAGTCTGATGTTGGGGTAGTTGTTGGCTGCCAGGATTTCCTCCGTGGAGTTGAACCCCTGAAGGAGATAACGGGAAAAGCATTAGAATGAATGATCACTGGATTCAAGTTCAAGTAGGGGAATGCATGCATAACTAGAAAAATTCGGGAAAAGATTGCGTCAAAATATGCAAGTACAATTTACATGTACATGTACAAACTTGTCAGAATGTCAAAAGCCCAGAGACAATATTATCTCAGACTGGCTATGTTGGGTCAAATATTAATGTTTCACAACCATATTCTTTGTCTAGTAACCCTTTGGTAATGATGGATTATCAAATCTGCAACAGCTACTGTAACGAAGCTTAACAAACTTGTCTGTATTAAATATGCTAGTAATTACATGTACTTGTGAGTTACAATATGTAAATCTGCCACCTACCATCATCACAGTGAACTGCATGTTACTTTGTCCACTACAGACCCAGACATCACCAAACATGACGTTGAACAATTTGCGGATGGCCTCTAGTGGCGTTACACCTTTGAAGTACTGGATAGCTGTGACATTATACGGTCCACCGGCTTTCATAGGGTCAAGGGTTACATTCCACAAACCTGCATCACTGTTGACTTAATTGATATAGAATAGAAAAGAGTTAGACTGCTAAATGTTTTATGAAAACCTTGACCCTTAGAAGGCAGGCACACCATACACAGTCACCACTCATAACTCATTTTCCGAGTCCACCTACCATTATTACTGTGAACTGCATGTTACTCTGTCCACTACAGACCCAGACATCACCAAACATGACGTCCACCAGTGTTATAACCACGTCCAGTGGGATTGGATCTTTGAAGCGCTGCCTGGCGGTGACATTGTATGGTCCACCAGCCTTCATTGGGTCAAGGGTAACATTCCACAAACCTGCATCACTGTTGACTTTTAACGAAAAAATGTTAGGCTGACAACAGTCTATGTCATACAAAAGTTTGACCCAATGATGGCAGGTGCACCATACACAGTCACAGGTGTAAACCTACCACCTACCATCATAACAGTGAACTGCATGTTACTCTGTCCACTACAGACCCAGACGTCACCAAACATGATGTCGTCCAGTTCGATGACCACCGCTAGCGGCGTTGGACCTTTGAAATACTGGACGGCCTTGACTGTGTACGGTCCACCTGCCTTCATTGGGTCAAGGGTTACATTCCACAACCCTGCACCACTGTTGACTTTAAACGAATAAAAAAAGTTAGGCTGACGACAGTTTATATCATGCAAAAGTTTGACCCAATGACAGCAGGTGCACCATACACAGTCACAGGTCTCAAACCTGCCACCTACCATCATAACAGTGAACTGCATGTTACTCTGGCCACTACAGACCCAGACGTCACCAAACATGATGTCGTCCAGTTGGATGACCACTGCTAGCGGCTTTGGACCTTCGAAATACTGGATGGCCTTGACTGTGTATGGTCCACCTGCCTTCATTGAGTCAAGGGTTACATTCCACACACCTGTATCACTGTTAACTTAGGCATAGAAAAGGGTTAGATAGCGTTTTGACACCTGTTTCACAGTGTTGAGATGATTTACAGTTCTGTCCTTGACATCTTTTAGAAGAATTTTGCAGGCTAGTGATAAGTTTTCCACAATGTCAATCAATGAATAACAGGACATCTATCCAAAGTTTCCATACAATTTCAAAGAATAGCTTACTGATTAGTAAGAACAGGCATGGTCCTTCTGAACTTTACCTCAAATGAGTTATACAATTTTGTGATACAAATGGTGGCATTATTTAGCTTTTCGTAATGGTTCATATCTGATGGTACATCAAAAGTAATAATCTGTTGTCTTTTAATTTTTCTGAATTTACAAATCACTATATAACACATGAACAAAGCCAGTGAGTCTAATTAGATAAAGATACAAATTTGTCAAAAGTACCTTAAATAGCACACCACTCCTGTCCTCACCTGTTTTGAACTCGCTGTCCCCTGGTTTGATCTGGACAGTGACATTAGAACCAGGGTCCCCCTGTCCCCACAGTACAGCCCTGTGTGGGGCCTGCTGTAACACCATGTGGTCTCCATACACTGAGGCAAACTTGAAGGGCAGACCTGTGGAGGAAACATACAGTTAGTATCATTAAGTGGCCTTTTAAGTTAAAAAGTTATTCATGAGCATCATGATCTCTCTGAAAACATTGGTGAACATATTGGTCAGCCCAGCTGCATTGTGTGCACCTTTAAATTTTTAATCTATTTTTTTTTATCTATTCATGTCAACTTTATTTATACATGTAATACATGTAAAAAGGTCATGAGAAACAGGAATGCCCTTTAGACTCCCTGACCAAAATTAATGGACAGTCCTTTTCAATAACTAATGCATATCAACAATGATAATAATTGTAACAAAAAATACTAATAACAATAATTTTAGCAAATGATAGTAACAATGAGATAATAAAGTAATGCAAAATAAGAAAGACGTAATGTATGATAATAAAGTGGAACAAAGGCTTAAATGGTCAAAGATTTTGTTGTAACATAAGAGCAAAGCAGTAACTTAAGTAAGGCCATGTTGATTTGATTATATGGATGACATCCTCCGGGAGCCCCAAAACTGATGCGCGCGTG